TCGGTTGTACCTTCGCTCTATGTAACCCTATATAAGCCCTACCCTTATAGAAATCGAAAAAATACCGGTATTTATTTTGGTTTTCGGTAATATATCGGTATCGGTATAGCTTTGATGGCATAATACTGGTATCAAAATTATACCGGTTTAAGTTCCTGGGTGAAAGTTAACAACGTAGAATACAAGCTTATCATGCGTGATTTTGATTAAATCGATGTTAAACATTCCTACGGGACACGTGCATTTGTAGATTACTTAGCTGTTCATTACTGATTATTTCCATTCGTGTCATTGTTTATAAATATTGATAACAGTATATTATTTGGTTTTCACGACGAATTATTTAAAACCATAGAGAACAGTAAGAATACAACAAAAAGTAAGTAATATCCCGTGCCGTCGTTAATTCTTATTGTAAGTAGAAACAGCGAATAATAGACGGACATAACACCACCTTTATTCGGAAGTATGCTTGCCAGCTTGCCAGACGAACATTGGAAATTACTTTACCTCAACGAAGTTGTATATTAAAAAATATTATTCTACATTGCGGCTAATTTTTTCATTTAGCGTTAGATGTTTTGAATTGTGACACCAATTTGGCAACATCCCGTATATGAGAAAAATTACGTAAACGTGACACAAGATCCGGAACAGAAATAAAAATATTAGGATTTCGATATCTTTACGACTTTCACAATTTTCAACTTCTGTATTATCTCCAGTTTTATTTTTATGTTCTGCTCCAGCTGTCCCTGCTTTTATGATATCGTTATATCAATGGGAGCTTAACGCTAAATATTATGACCAAAATGAAGATTTCTAGAAAAATGTGCCAAGAAAAGGGAAATGAGAATTGGTAGGTAAGTCTCATGCATACTATACAATATTTAGATATAAGAACAGAGAAATAAGCGAGTTGTTCTTACAAAGTTTAGGTGAGTTCTTGAAACTGCTGATAATTATAAAGGAGAAATTATTTTTAATTGACTTTTGACGGGGTACCTATTACTAATTCTGCAAAATCAGACTTAACAAAAAATCTAAAACGACAATAAGGATCTACGAAAAATACTTGCACTTAACGTATTACAATAAAATGAAGTAGGTAATAGGTGAATGCATTGAATATGGGTAAGTGCTTGTATACATATACCATTTCGTTCAGAACATGTATCAAACTGTCACGACAACTTACTTCCTTCAATTTATCATCCACGAACCGGAATTGTCGTAAGTAATTTCTGGAAGTTGTATTAGATCTGTCGCCCGTTTCTACGATGAACTCGTAAGAATCCGTAGCGTAAAATACACCAAATTCGAATGTACGAGTTTAACTAAGATTCACCAAGATTAAATCCCATAAACAAGCTGTCAAATCCAGTTACGTATCCGCTTATCATTTTCAGCGAATTCATTTGATCAAGTTCAACCGCTTAGTGTCCCACGTGTCGCAGCATCGCCGAATGGTTTACCTTAACGTTTAACCCGCCACTAATTGATCATACAAACGCCAGAAATAAAAAAAAAATGTTACAAGAAATTTATACGAAACTTTTGCACCATTTAACAACTCCTCGTAAATTTCACGCAACATCGTGGATTTGTTATGCGATCAAAATTACGAAATACACGCAATTACCTTATTTGTCGTGTATACTGTGCAATAAGTACTGAAACGTGTAATATATCCATCACGTTCGCGAGCGAGGACGCCGGAGCAGTTTATAGACATTAAAATGTGCGTTGCGTGTTAAATATTTGTGAATCATCGCTTCATTCGACTCAGAGCGGAGAGAAGATAGCTCGAATATAAAGCCGGGGACACGCTGATAAAAACTCATTAAATCGAATATCGAGGAATCGATGACATCACTATCGTGGTACATTCAACGGTCATTTTCGTAATCTCGAAGACGCAACAACAATGTTTATCGGCGTTCGCGTTCGGAACAGTTGCTGTCTACGCGTTGACGACCACACAACTTGTTGAAGTAACGAAATACGGCACGATCCAGATTAGTTGCAACCGTTTTATCTCGAATTAATGTTATGAGGTTGTCAACTAGTAGGGCTACCTACTGGAAAGTAATGTTTTTCCGTAATAATCTTTACTGTAAATTTCGGAATATGTTACAGACACTAATCACTCAAATAGCCCCCATCGTTTTCGGATACCCTTCGCCTAGAATATGTTAATGAAAACCTTCAATGAAATGTATATGAAGTTTAGAAACTTAAAAAAACACACGTCAGAAAAGACGGCATTACTTTCCGGTACATCTAATAAAATCGTGAAAAATATAAACACCTTTATTATAGCTTGATATACAGCCTATCCCATAACCCTTTCATTCCAGACTTCAATAAAAAGACAATTGATTATGCTACGTTTGTATACCCCTACATTCCCTTCAGAAGAACATTTATCTAAAATTTAGCAACAGCTATAGAATGAAGACGAAACTTTATTCGTCTTAGAATTAGCTTAAAAAATTGTTGAGGAAAAATTACCAAAAAAATCCGTTACACCAACTTCTACAGCTCCTACGGAAAGGTATTATCTTCAAACAGGACAACGTTCGACAACGCATATCACACAAACCACTGGGAAAAAATTAAAGAGTTAGGCCGGGAAAGCTTAATTCACCCATCCTATAGCCCAGATGCTGCTCCAAACGATTACCACTTGTTCCGATGGCTATAACATTCGGTAACCAAGAAACACTTTTTTAAAGTTGACGATGTCGCAACGCAGATTTCCACGTATTTTGCTTCAAAATCACAAGAGTTCGATCGCAGAGGGATGGAAAACCAACCACAAAAATTACTAAAATTATCAAAATTATTAAATGATGGTTACCTTGAAAATTGTTATTTGTTGAATTTTAATAAAATATTCTTTTGAAAGGAATGTTAAGGTTGCGAATTTAGTTATGAACCTCAGAACATGGTCATCTATACCGCTAGGTTTCTTATGATTACTCGTTTTTCTTATGTCGTTTTTATTTTCAGTAGGTACAGTTTGAACGGGAGTAGAATAAAAGTTGACGATTACAAATGATGTATGAGAGGTAATTCATAATGTTTGTTTTTTTGAACAATTATCTAGGTGAACTTCCATTTGTTCCACATAGAAATTGTGTTATTCTGTAATTTAAAATTTTATCTCGATGCAATAGTGGATAGATAGTCATTTAGCTTATCTTCGTTATTCGAAAACCTTTGTCTACATAAAAAGTTTGTCCATCTTTTGATTTGATCGTTGCTGTAGATTGTTCGGTGTTACTAGGCGCTACAATTTGTACCTACTAATCTGGACGTTACGATACCGAATGGTTAAAAATGGAAAATCTTTTACGGCTATTGATCGTTTATATTTCCGTTTTTAAGAACGATGAAGATTTGTAATGGAAACTGATAATAGATACTGAAACAGGATGTCTATTCTACTGTACAAACAAACGGACGAAGAATATTTTGTACAGCATTTAATAACCTTTATCTTTCTGCAAATTGCATTTTTTCATGTGCAAATCGACATTTTGCAAAGTACAATTGCAGAATGAGAAAGCGTCATTTTACACAGACCAAAGTTTCAATTCATTGGACAGTTGATGAATTTATGCTTTTGAAAAACTTATTACTCCAAAAGAATGAAGTAAATTGTAAATGTAGTTACTGTAATTATTTTAATTTACAATCTTCAGCAAATTAATTTATAAGAAGTAGGTACACAATTTTAATGAAAAATATTTTTTTATACTATTTAAGGTGCTCGCTAAAATCAAGCATCTTCAAGTATTTTATTAACATATTTCATCTTTATTGTTTATTTATAACAATTGTCTGTAAATAAATCAGCGGTATTTTTTAAATGGAATCTTATACTTTTTTTCGGCATCGTTACTGAGCATAAAAAACAAATTGAACGACCTACAGCCACCACGTTTCGAACATTTAATCTCGAGATATTTGGTCTAAAGATAACAAAAATTGTCTAACTATTCACGCGTAAACGTAAAAATTAATTGCGCGTGTATCTTCAGGAAATTTGAGTTATTCTCCGACATAAATATCTGGAGATTAAATGATCGAAATGTATGGTTATTAAGGTCGCTGAATTTATTTTTATATACTCATAAAGATATCGAAAAAAAGTATAGATTTCATTTAAAAAAAATAACGATGACCTTGATACCGCGTACAAAAAATTACCCAGAGAAAAAATTGTTTCCATCATTACATATGCCCCTTGAAATATTTCAACTTTGTCCTGAAATTTCTTTTTTCACACAGCAGTAAGTAAAGTACACATTTACGTGATTCTATTTAGCTGAAATACCGTTATAATTATTTTTTCCACTATAAAACTCGAAATATTAAATTCATCTGAACATTATCTGACACTGTCTTCTGTTATATATACACCTGGAATCCTTTAAAACTACCCCTTAGCAGACGGCAACCCTATTCACATCATTCACACGTACTTTCTTTCATTCATCGGATCAAACACACCAACCGGAAAAACTTATCGTTAGGATTCCATCTATCATTATGTCAAATGATGCCGCCGCGAACTTCGAAAATCCAACGAGAAAAATAAGACGAATAAACTCGAGGGTCATTCCACACTAAGCCAGACACATTTCGAAGTAACATTTCGGATTTTATTGAAACTTGGATACAATGCAGTTTTTATGGACATATAAACATACCTCGAATGATTTTTCACGTTTATATATCACTAAAGACTACAACATATCGCAAGTTTCAACAAAATCCGTAATGTTACTCCAAAATGTGTCCGACTTCCTGTGGAATGACCCTCGAGGGACTTTCACCTGTCAGAAATCGGGTTTCGAAGCGCGACCCAAGCCACGAAAACAATACCCCAAACAACGAGAAACAAGCGAACGCTAAAATGAACCTTGAAAAAAAAAAACAAAAAAAAACAAGACGAAGAATATTGATCAAAGTAAAAATCGGCAACTCACATTGATCGAATATCTTAAGCATCGCTTTCTTCAGCTGCATAATCGTGCGCTGACCGTGGCGAAGCGCCTCGACGAAGTGGAGCAATCACGTTCATAACCAATATCGTCGCCGTGTATGAACCGAGCGGTGCTGCTCGTCGTCTCGCGTACAACTCGCCGTTTCGAGAGTAACAGCGGCAGCAGCAGTCCATCCTTCGAAAGGAGACGAAAACCGCGGTCTGTGGTGTCCTTCAAGGACTGACCGTGCGTCTCGCAGGACGTTCGGTCGGCGGGCAGCAGGCCGCGATTCTTCGCCACGACCGCATCCTTGTTCCTCGATGCGTTTCCTCTTCTCTTACCCGCGCTCCGGCTCCTACTCCCACCCTCTCTCACGCACTCACTCACACTCTCCTCGTTGCACGGAGCTCGTGACGCGGCGACACGCTAGGTCCGTGGTCCGTCGTGTCGTGTGGTACCCTCGAGTCCGCGCGCGCGCTGTGTGTGTGTGTGTGTGTGTGTGTGTGTGTACTGTGTAGTGTGTGTATGTGGGTGTGTGTGTGTATGCCTCTCTCGGTGTCAGTGCGCGTGACGACGTGCGCTGGAATTCGTACGATGAATGAACTCGTTCGTGTAATCGCTCCCACGTAGAGAGCCGTGCCGCGCGCCGGCCCGATCTCCCTCGGGGACAAATTCGCTCCGATAACACCCACGTGGTCGCCCCTTGAGGGACTGGCAGGAACGAAAAAAACCGACTAGCGATCCTCCGTGGGCAGGGTTAAAAATGTTACACGTTCAAACACGGTCCACCGTCGTCGTCGAGGTGACTGTTCGTCGACGGGAAAACGATGTCGTCGTCCGAATTAGCTACCTTAGCGGTACGTACACCAAAGTACGTTTCTATCGAGCCGCGGATCATTCGTTGATTCGCGGAGACAATCGTTAGTCATAGAGGATGCTCAACGACCGATCGAACCGTTCCAGAGGAGACGTGGCACTAATTGTTAACACTGCACGGAAAATAAAGGAGCGACCACTGGTCCTCGCGTGCAACGTTTAAGTGGATTCAATGATCCTCGCCGAGGAGCGCACTGTGTACGTCGAATAATCGAACGATGGGGCAGTCAGTTAGTCGGCCGTTATCGATACGGCGCGTTAATCGTGAAATTGTTTCGGGGAAGAACTTCGGCGTGATCGTTTCTCTCTCGCGGGGTGTCTCTTCGTTCTCCGAACAAATGAATGGAGGTTACACGCGGAAACGCAGCGTTGAGCGGTCGTGTATGTATGTATGTATGTATGTGGGCTAATTGGCGAAGCGGAATTAATGTTGATCGCTGGGTACCCCCGTTCGACGAACAGCTGACTTTGAAGGGTATCCAGGAACAATCGTGTTGGTTCGCGCCACTTCTTCCTGGCCGAATCTCGGCGAATGCTTATCTGACGTACGAACACACAAAGACGAGGCAGCTCTGATTTACGGGCACCCTTCCCCTTCCCTGCTAGTTTCCTTTTTACTCTCCTGCCGCGCGGGAGAAAAAGCGTGGATGGTGCGTTGTCCGTATCTTCGACGGCGTGACCTTTTTAGCTGCGCTCCGAAGTCTTCTCTTTTCGCCCCGTCACGGTTCGGTCACGATGTTCTTGTCGTTCCTGCGAACGTATTGTTCCGCGCGATCAAACAATATCTCTCCTCGGTTGTCTTCCTCGCTACCACGAAACCAGTCAGTTTTTTCGTCTATGCTCGTCGTGACACATCGACACTCGGTGTTTTCCCCCTCCCCTCGATCTCGCCATCAAGTTCACTGTCTCGGTGCAAAACAATCAGTTCGACGACTTGAATCGAGACGATTTGTGCTCGATCGATGTCACCGATATCCGGAGCACTCGGTCACGGAACTATCTCTCACCGGACGAGCATGTTTGTTTACTTTCTCACTTTTGCGTCACCAGACGCCACACAAACACGGTCGAACAACAACACATCGATCAACTCACGCGATTGCGGGAGATGCCTACCGGGGGAATAGTGTGCACACAACGCGACTGACGTGTAATAAGTGGCACTCGTGGCGATGGATAGCTATTGGAGCATCTTCTATCTGTTCGGCGTTCCTTCGACGGCGCACGGGTAACGTTCGAACGCGTCCGCGAGTCACACACTATTTCTAACCTCGAAGCAACGCCGGCCGATCGCGCAGTTTTTCTCACCTGGTCCCGTCGTGGACCGCTCCGATTTTTGCGGCACTGTGATCGCTACGCTCACCGTCCAACGAGAGAAAAAACAACGGAACAGTTGTTACGAGACGAAATATAGACACTGTTTCTCACCGATTGCGTATGAATAATGCGCGTGCCGCGCAATTCGTACGCGTAACGTCTCCCGCGCGAGTTTAACCGCGACTGCCGTGTCGGAGTCGAGTCGAGTAACTCTCTCGCGAGCTCGAGCCGAACGAGCTAGAGGGGAGTCTATACGAGAACGAGAGAGAGAGAGAGAGAGAGGCAGTGAGGGAGGGGGAGGGAGATAATAGACAGAGACCGCTACGGGCACGCTGAAAGAGACCGAGAGGGAGAGAGGGGGAGAGACCGAGGATTTCACAGCTAGCCAGAAGAAAGAAAGATTTCAGAATGGAAGTGTTGAAAATGGTGAAAGTATTAAGAAACACAATTGAGAAATCTGCAAAATTCTAATTGTATTCTAATTATCACCACGGAAATTGTACCATTCCAAACAAACTGCTACACATTTTCCATTTAATAGCAATTCGAAGTGTTAGAATGGTTTGCAACAAAGGTCTTTCTTTCGTGATAATATTCAACTACCTATGCGAATGTTAACGATGAGGAATACATCACTGATCAAACAAGAGCAATCTCTGAATCAAGAGAAGCTCGTACGAAAATGCGCAGAATCTTATAAAGCGAGTCGACGAGTGACCTTTTCACTTATTTTATGACGTACCTATTAGCGAACGCGTGAGTAACGATTAAAAGTCCCCGTTATCTATGAAAATTTCTAGTCTTATCCCCGTAATCGGCGATTGGGATCTATGTCGATGATCATCTGTTCCGTAACGAATGCGTTTCGTAGCGTGGGGAGGGGGAACGACGACGTGTGAAATGTCTTTATCATGGTTTCGTTCTTTTATGAGCTCGTGAAAGGCTCGCAAGTGTTAACAATACATTGAACGTATCGTGGCGCGGTGAATAGAAGGTATGGAACTAATGAAGTAGAAATTCTTAATCCAACGGACCGGGCGAAGGCAACATTCGGGAAACTAAACACCATACGCCAATGAGGATCAAGAGTTTCAAGGTCAGTGCAGAGTTCACCGAAAAATATGTGACGCTGCGGCCCACACATTCGATCGTGAAATCATTTGAATGACTCGCTAATGAGAAAAGTTCCTGCATAAGATATTTAGTAGTTATGCATGTATGCGCGGGGCCGGGTTTCCGGTGGTACTGTCGCGTAGAAAGCTGAAAATACGGCGACCGGCGAAATAGCGAACAACCGTGATCGGCGCTACAACGGGGCGAAAGATGTATGACCGTTTCGAAGACGGGAGGCCAAGATAAAAATTGTTATCTGTTCTGTTGGCCGTCGGGTATGTGCTTACATCGGCTTTCGTGTGATAACCACGCGTTCGTTCGTCTATTTACGTACGTATACGGAGACGCCTGGCCGGAGACGAGGCTGGAGGTAGAAAGGCTGAGGAGTGCAAGTAGTTTTATATGCTCGTTCTCGATCTACGAAGAGACTGAGCTCTCGGTTCGGATGTAACTTAGAAAATTGGCAATGGTTCCGGATTTTTGTGGATATTCGGAAACGAAGATGATTAATTTTCTCGGGGACTTAACCCTCAGACACCACACTCGTGCGGATTTGCAACAGCGAAACATTGTTTCATTTGTCACATTCTATCTGACTAGCATAACGGTTTCCTTTAATTACGATGAAAAATGATTTCTCATTTTTGCAATTATTACCATTGAATTTCTCAGGAAATTTTACTCTAAAAAATTGCTTGAGTTCAGTGTGCTTTTATTTTCTTTAAGTTCTTAATCATCAAAAATTCATAATCCCAATTCGCACTGGTGTGGAGTGTATGTATGCTGAGGTGGGGTGTGGTTTCTGAGGGTTAAAGGCACGATAAATGGAGTAACACTAACTGATCAACCTGAATTTTGCTTACTCCTGCTACGGTGTTCGGGTCTAATTCGACCGAATCACGTTTTCGTTTCTTTAACACTGTTACGACTTTACACACTTATTTGACTTGATATACATATATGTAATGTGTAAAAAAATTGTTAATGATCGACGTGTTTTTCTTTCCTCGTCACTATTTGGAATATACAGGGTGGTTCACTTAACGTGACAATATTAATTACTCATAAATGTATGAAAAAATATTTTAAACGAAAGTTGCATGGTATTAAGAGAGACATATAATGCAATAATACGTTTCTTACTACTACATTTACTGTTACATTTTTACAAAGATATAACGGTAGTTTTCAGTTTTTTAAACGGAATGCCCAATATTTCAACCCGAATTTCTATAAAGCCTCAAATAGTGCAGAAAAAAGTGTTAATGACATATAGGATCTACAGTAAACAGTTTCTGAGATATCAGTAAATTTTTGTAACATATTGGTGATATTCTTCCGTTTAACACTAGAACTACCAACATTGAATGTATGCTAAGTTTAATTGTGTAATATATTTTAATACGTGTAATATATAACGCAATATAGCTTAGTGTACTATAATAGAATATGTATAAGAAATAAAAGGTAAACATAAATCTTGGTGAAAGTATCTCTAGGATTTCAGTAATTATAAAATAAATAATCTAAAATCCGTCATTTTGACGGGTTCGGTAGTTCTAGCGTTAAAATGAGACAAAACATGACATAATTTGGACCATATTTTTTTATTAATATTAATATTAATGCAGCAGGTTTCAAAGAGTTAATTCTTAGACGTCAACGACAGGGTCCATTTTGACCCGACTTCTCAAGATCTTTAATTAACTCAGCAGCTTTGGATAACTAGTTGAAATTAGTAGTTGTTTATGTTAATACGAATAAAAAGTATGTGACCAATTCACACAGAAATTCCTTTGAATGTGGATTTTAAAGGAACGATGCCTGGGGGTCCAAAATGGACCCACGCTCCGCTCTATGCATTACGATCAAATCGAAAGTTCAATATAAGTGCCAGTTTCTGAGGATAATGTTTAAATATGTATTAGATCTAAGATCATATTTGTTCTTTCTGATCTCTTTGAGATATGTTACTAATTATTAATGTTATATTTGTACCTAATCAAACGGTTTAATAGATGAAAGAGACCCTGAATTTTAAGCGTTCTTGTCTTGAAGCTTGCCTCAGCGATCTGCAATTACTCTGCAGACAGAGCATCTTAAAGAAAATTACTAGTACTTTAGTAATGAAAGAAAAATGAAGGGAAGGATAATAAACAATAGAAAGTCCTAGAATGTCTAGAATCAATCATTTAATGTATCAAGCTTTAAAAATTAATTATCCTTAAATTTGTTGCATACAAAATAAACTAATTGTAAAA